CGAGCTGCCCTGCCACCGCGTCGTGCTCGCCGCCAGGTCGCGCTTCTTCAGGTACCACAACAACAACAATACACAAACAACATTACAACAACTGTACACCAACAACACCAGTAATAACAACTACACCAATAAATATACACCACCAACAACAATGAACTAGTAACAATACACCAACAACATCACCAGCAACAATACACCAACAACAACACCAGCAACAATACCACAACAACAATACACCAACAACAACACCAGCAACAATACGCCAACAACTACACCAACAACAATACGCCAACAACAACACCAGCAACAATACACCAACAACATCAGCAACAATATACCAACAACAACACCAGCAACAATACACCAGCAACAATATACCAACGACAATACACCAACAACAAAACACCAACAATAATACACCAATATCAAAACTCCAACAACAATGTACTAATAACAACAAACAAATAAACAACAACAAAGATGCCTATCTTTTTGTGTAATGGCATGGTTATGAGAAATTTGACTCGCTAAAATCATTATATTGACGGTTATTTGCACCTCCATAGAGGTTAAATTCGGTTAAGTTGCGAGTTACTGAGCAGTTTGCGACACAACTCTCATAATCTTACTAATATTATAAACTAGCTTTCGCCCGCGACTCTATTCACGTGGAATTAAAATATAACAGTGGTAGAGCCCGCTTTAACATGTTCGCACTGCAGGGCTCTCAGCAATACCACGACCACACGAACAGGCGTGAAGTGGAAGCAATTCCGCGTTTCGTTTGATAAGTGTGGTGTCGGAGGCTCAACTTTAGTCCCTTTTCTTTCCCACCCTTTTTCTGATAAAAATAGGTTGGGTTGGGAACGTGGATTCGACGGCGGAGGAGACACATAGGAAGGGGAAACATCTTCTCTATGTGCGACTCCTCTTTCGTCGATTAAGGATAGGCAATGCATCCGCTATTAGGAATGTCTATGGGCAGCGGTTGCTTCGCCATTATGGCGGATT